ACCAAGAGGAGAGACAATAACCTTAAAATTCTCATATTATTTTAATTAAGGAAACAAACTTAATTTACAAAGAAAAAATAGTGTTCTTCTCCAACTTTTGTGCTTCCCTCAGAGGCAAATACTGTATATTCCGGCTTACTACATTTCCGTTAATTAAATATTTACAAAAACTTTTTGTACTCTACCAAACAAATTTAAGGGAGCTCATTGGAGTTTTTCAGTAATACAGTGGAAAAGTAATATTCACAGAGATCTTGAAGATGATATATTGAAGTTGTAATTGAAAATCTTTCACCACAGGAACAACTATTTATTTGGTTTTAAATCCAGTTGCCTTAACAATTCTAAACCTGATTTTTAAACTTCCCCAGCATACCAATTTTATCAGTTGCCCCAAAGGACCACAGACTGAGATCAAGGCACTACTAACTCTGAAACTTCTGTAAAATGAGTCAAAAGCTCAATATTTCTGAAAATCAGATTAAAGAGTTGCTGTGCAAAAAGACCCAAGATCTGTGGAACACCTTTTTCATCCATAATGATGTAATAGGAGATTTTTTTAAAAATAGGAATTATAGAACAAACAGGATTGTGAGAACAGTGAGGAAGAAAGCAGATACAGTTCTGTATCAAATATATATTTTGATGGCGGTTTTTGCCAGATCCATGGGAAGTACTGATTTGCAGTTGGTAAAATCCAGTACTTCAGTTTAACATGGTTCCAAAACAATGCAGAAACCCAAAATCAAATCACCACCGGTTTTATCTGTTCCGGTATCTTTCCATACAGACATGGGTAGAACCAAATTATATAAATTATGACGTTTTCCTATTTGCATCCTTTATGTCTTCGGGTTTATTTGAATGCTTGGAAGGTTTAGGCAGAGAAAGCCTGCATGACTGTCTCAGTGAGACTTAGTAACCTAAATAACTAATCAACTCTGTCATTCCCACAGTTCGGAAGAAAGCTTATAGTAGGGTCAGAAAACAAATCCAGGTCTTTCAGGGCAAAAAGCTCACTCTGAAAGACCATACTCTTTCTTTAGTCCTTCTCACAGTAGATTCAAGAAGATTCAGCAACAACCTTAGCAGATTGATTTATTTACTTATTTTCATTGTATGGCGGGTTTGGTTTTTTTCTTTTAATACTCATTGTGGAAGAAGACTTGCAAAAAACACCAGTTCTAACAATTCCCAATTAGACCACAATCTCTTGAAGCAGCTGGGAACTTTCTCCAGAGACACATATCAAAATCCAAACACATAGGCCGTGGTAACAGAGCTGTATAAAATGTGTGATGGTCTTATCTCTGACTTAAAATTAAAGATCTAGGTAGCTCAGTCTAAATGCATAGCCCCCACTAGGTGTTTTGGAGAGCAGTGGAGAAACCACGCCTCTCCCTTGTGCTTCCTCAGCTAAGACTTTAAACTCTCCATAACTCTTTCCAGCCAATTGTGTCTGTTTAGAGCAGGTTCTGCAGCTACTTCCTCTCACAACTATAGTTCTTGTCAACTTGTGTTATGCATGGCTCAGGAGACAGATAAATAGGATACAGAGCCTTTCACCTCTAGGTCATCAGTTCAAACATAGCCCATGTTTGTAGGGGCCAAAAGTTGCTATCAATAGATGGCTTTTTGGACTCCTCAGTAAACCTCCATTCCATCTGCATAAACCAGTATGTATGCCAGACCCAAAATCCTGCATTATCCTAAAAGGTGTCTGCCATGGAGAAAAGGAAATGGAATTCCAATCTTTATCCTAAAACAACTGTCCCCCCCAAAATACAGAATATCCACACTTTCTCCTTCCCTTCCTTTAAACATTAGAAATTCATAGTGCAAGACTGTAAGACAACGGAATATTGAAAACATATTCTAAAAAACAAAAGCAGAGAAAGTCAAAAGAAAAGAGGTCTTTTTTTAAAAGACCAATGAAAGCTTTGCCTCATTAACAAACCTCAGTGAAGGTTTATGAGAAAAAAGATCTTTGCCTAAAATAAACATTCCTCATTGTTTTGTTAAGACAGGGATTGTGAATGCTCCTCTCTCTGACTCTTCCAGGAAAGCTTCACAGCAAAACTTAGGAAGGTCAGTTTTGAAATTCCTTGTACCTGCACACATCAGCTACCAGGTCTTTGCACTGATGCTATGGATGTCCTTGCTATTGCTCAATCACGTAGCGTTAAAGGCCAGGATACACACTCTTTGGATTTGTTGCCTGCTAAGCCACAAGGAAATTACCATTTGAATTACCTGCAAGTTCCACGGGATAGCCACCTCTAGGCTATTATAGGGAATTGCAAGTCACAGGCAAAGTAGTAACCGTAGCGTAGCTAATGAAAGATATCTCAGCTGGAGCAGTAGCCTGCAGCATTGTCTAAACCTTCTGCACTCCATGTCACTCTTTGGATTTGTTCCCTGCTAAGCCACAAGGAAATTACCATTTGAATTACCTGCAAGTTCCACGGGATAGCCACCTCTAGGCTATTATAGGGAATTGCAAGTCACAGGCAAAGTAGTAACCGTAGCGTAGCTAATGAAAGATATCTCAGCTGGAGCAGTAGCCTGCAGCATTGTCTAAACCTTCTGCACTCCATGTGATTTCAAGGTATGGTACATCAAAGCTATGGCATCTCCCCTCTCCCTTAGATCTTTTTATAGCATGACAATGACATGTCCAAACCCCTCAATTCAGTATATTGTCCTTTGACTTCTAAGACTTCCTGTCTGGCAACTCCTTCCACAGGAGAATTATCAGATCTGAATCTCTTAAATAATAGAAATTTAGTTTTAGCACATCAACCATCAGTGGACTCTACAAAACTACTAGCAAACATAGAGTCAAAATGCTAAAAGCCGTCTGCAATTTTATCTCACCTAAGTGATCTTTCCATAATGACATTAGGAATTATAACTTCCCTTGCAATTCTAAAACCGGGATACTGCTTGTCTTGCCTGATAGAGCAAGGGAATGGCAGAATGCAGGCCTTGATCCCAGTGTTGCCATATTTTCAACATGCTAAACGTAGCGCACACTACTGACCACCTTGCAGAAGGAAGCGGTGCGATTCAGACAGCACACCCTGCAGTCTGTTCTCTGACCAGAGTAACAAGGGCACTGGACTGTCTACATCCTTCTGCTGAGCTGCTCTAAGAGCACTGCAACAACCCGCTGCCAGCCACTCTAAGCAGATGTCAAACCAGTGTCCTGTTCAGAGGAAACAGTGTATAGCAGTCAAGCTGGTAAGAACTACCACACCAGTTCACATCCAGCAACCTTTGATTGTAATAAGAGACAGCATAGTGCTATAGCTACTAGGTTATTCTTAAAGCTCTTGTATTTCTGCAGAAGACCTCCCAGACAGCATGTGGGCACAGGTACCATGTAGCACATATACCACTGTCGAAGATGCATCAGATTTGCTGCAATGCTGATTGATCTGATGTGTACAGTAGATCTGATGCACTTTGAACATGTGCGCACACAGGCTTTAGAGCTGATTTACTTAAACACAGTTGCCATTGTTGAGGATTTTCAGATGTCCAGCGGTGTGGCAGAAGGTGTTGGCTACCCAGACAAACAGTCCAAAAGTAAATCTAGATTACATAGTAGCCCTGTAGACACCTGACTATGCATAGCTAGTTCCAAATGGAAACAGTCAGGTCCAGACAGACTTGTTAGCAGGAGCTTCCTGCAGTGGTGCCAGGACACAAAGAGGCAATGACAATGATCATGAATCCAGTAAGGGAAGAGACAGAGCAATAGGTGTGACTGAGGCTGTATGAAAAGCAGGCAGGGATGAAGGTGGCAATGATGCTGTAGAAATCAGGAAGAAGATGACAGCAGTAGTAGTATTCCTGGGGTGGGTGTGCATGAGGTGCAAGGCAGCAGCATCAGCCCCAGTGGGACAGGATGACAGCTACAGGGGGGCACGGGCAGCCAAGCTGCCATGGAGAGAGAACTGGGGATACTGGGGTTACAGCAGTGAGTAGCTCTCTGAGAAGATGGAAAATGAAGACACAACAGAGGAAGGAGCAACTGGTCACGTACCAGTCAGAAACCATTATTCTAGAAATTTATTTTCAATTATGGTTTTAATTTTTTTTTAATTGAGTTAATTTGTCACAAAGGGGGGAAAAAAAAAAAACCAAACCACAACACATATTTTCTGCACTTCATTCTCATAGTCCTATGTACACAAAAGATTAGCATGGAGATACCAGATAGGCCTAAAGAAAGGAGTGAAATGTCCTTTTTTCTTGGATTATGAATTTGATTTAAATACATCATGATAGATTAATCAGGTATTAATGTACTCTGAAAGACCTTTACTCCCTAAGGATCTTATTATTCTTGCTTCTTAAACTGTTTTAAGTATTAAAAAAAAAATACACTTCACATTTTATAATCATAACTTCACTGCATGTCATGCTTATTTAAGTAAACATTATTCTTCCATGGCAATCACTAAGCTCCTAAAAGTCTTTATATAACATTTGTTCACTTGCAGTGACATTCTTGAAACACAGACAAGGTATCATGAAAAGAAGACTACACGTACCAAGCTACAGGACTTAGAATACTTACCTGTCTACATTAGTGTTTGCTATTCTATCAGTTTACTTAAAAATGTTATATTTTACTCAGATAAATAAGTTCACTCACCTTTTTACGTTCATCTGTTCTTTTAGTTTGCTGTACATTTCCAGCACTGCATAAAAACAAGCAGATTAACCCATGGATCTTATTGTGGTTTTAGTTAATGAAAGAGGAAAATATGTACTGTAACGGACAAAATAAACCATAGAAAAGGATATGCTAAATTTACCTTATTTAATTCCTACTGTAACATAAATGTGATAAAACTAGCAAAAAAAATTCTAGAATGCAGCTAAGAAAGAAAAAAGAACTGAACTCTTAACAGCTTTTAAATGAAGAAGAATTAAGATTAAACATATAGTGTTTACCTATATATAGGTAGACACTATATATATCAGGCATATTCACTCACTTACTACATACCATAACTTTATCTGCATTACCAGTCTATGACCTGTCTCCATTAAATGGCAACAGTACCACCTACTGTACTCATAACAAGACAACAACGAGACTTTAAAAAAGTAAAATTCTCAAATCTGCTTTTACGCCAATATCACAAACAGGATAAAACCCTTATAGAGCTGTGTGCAATCCTGTAATATTACCTTTCTGAAATATCATTTAGAGCCCTTATGTTTTATAAAAAAAAGCCTGTAATGACACAGAGCTAAAAGTACAACACTGAAATAGAATCATTAGGATTTTCCCTGGAATTCAAACAGTAAAAACCACCCTCTTAAGCAACAAATTCATTGTTTATCATATTAAAAAATATTACTTCATTTAAAGCTGTATGTGGCTACATTGTTTGCATTATTTATATCTGTCTCACTGTCTTGTCACGAAGTGGCTTAATTGCTCCGTGTCAAATATTGTAAAAGACATGGAACCTATGTGCTGACATCTTCTTAAAATCAGTTAATTTTTTTGTTAAAATGGATATTGCAGGACCACAACTTAAAAAATAAAATTCTTTTCCATTTTGGCTATTGTGACTTACTTTATTTAATTTGCCATCATATATAGCTATAGGTCACTCACCTGGAAGACACAACTGTAGTTTTTCCACAACTGTTGTGATATTCTGTTGCTGAACTCTACATCGGATGATTTCCTCTGTTTGGGCTATCACCTTGGATTTAAAAAAAAAAAAAAAAAAAAAAAGAAAGAAAATCACAATTAAATTATGCAAATAAATTTAATTTGCTACAAAAATTCATAATGCCCATATAGGAAGAACCATTTTCTCACCTCTTTCCCAGCATCCTGAAGCCTTCGGTTGGTATCAGTAACTTGGACCTTAAAAATAATTTCACCTTTGTTAGACAAATATGCATATATTGCCCTGATGTGACTGCTCACCCTTGTAATCAGATCATGCTTCATGAGAAACTTAGAACAAAGAAATGCAAATTCAAATTAACTCTACAGCTTGAACTTGAACTTTTGATCGCAAAGGGCTTTTGTTAACTTCAATTACTTATGACAGTTCTTTCTAACAGATTCTGTGGCAAATTTCTCAAATTTACTTGGGATTTTTGAACTTTCCTTGTTTCAGTAGGTCTGTCAAACAATTCAAATCATTGACCCAATTGACCACTGGTCCCTTTTTGATAACCTCAATGAGCTCTATGGGCCATTCATTGTCTGTAAGAAATGGTGACTGCATTTTATGGTAATTAAACATTCATACTTTGCTGAATGCAAACACTGGGTGGTTGATTAACATCAAACGTGGAAATCTCCAAACCACAGCAACATTTTAATGCTGCAGGTGCAGGCAAAGCTCGACCTCAGATTTTCCCACATAGTAAGTGACTCATTAGGTCATCATAATAAGGAAGCACATTCTAGTTTATTAAAAATCTCATTAATTTCTGAACAAAGATGCTCAATGACCTCATTGACGCTGTATTTGGTCTCTTGTTATCTGAATATCCTTTATATAATGCTCTTCTAATCATAACCTCTGATGAACTATGCTCATTCTGTCTGGCGTGCATATTTTGCTCTCAAAAGTGTAAAGAGAGCTAAAAGGGACGGATCTTATAATTCACTATTCTGCGTTCTGATTTGGGAGTAAATCTCAGTTCTCATTTCAAACTACTAACTCCACCTACTCTCCTACTCATTACAGAATAAAGAAAATTCATTTTTCATGCATAGTTGCAGTATTTTTATTTTTCTGATCAAGATTTTAAATTTTTCTAAGGTCTGACATATAAACACATGATTAGAAAAAGACCTATGTAAGAAGTATTTTACCATTTGTTGTTCTTTACCCTCTGAGAAAGCCTTTAAAAAGGGCAAAATAATTTTGGTAACACTTCCTGAAAACATACATTAAAAAAAAACATCAGAAAAATCAGAATTAGACCTAATAAAATATTCAGCTTTGTAAATGTAAATTACTGGATCAGGCAACACAGCTCTAGTCACAAATCCTAAATAATCCACTTTTTAAAAATTGTTGCAGACATCACAGTGTATGTGATAATCACTAAATTCTTATTCTTCAGTAAAAGAGTCAAGTTCCTTCTTTTAAATTTAAAGACAATGATATATGAAACTCTGAAAAACTAGTTCCTTACCTTTAATTTTTCTGCATCAGCCCTAACTTTAAGAAGTTCTGTAATAGCATCCACAAAGCCCTGATGGTGAAAATTGCACATCTTTTCTATCTCCCTGTCGTGGTTACGTATGCAGGCATCTAATTTTTCCATAAACCTCTGATGTGCATTTGGTTGGTCATCATATACAGACCTGTTAAATACAAACAAGAAAATCAAAGTTTACTTTTTCCCCCAGTTAAAAATAGCATGCAAGGACCTTTATTGAAATCTCTCTCTTAAAAAGAAAACAAAAGGACGCAAACTTGATGTTACGGTGGCATCATTTGTGATCCACTCCACCAAAATCAGCATTAAAAGAAAGAGATGGCACAAAACTGACAACTGAACCCAGCCCTTATGGCATTAATCCAGGTGCTTAACCAGTTACATCATGGTTGACCTGAGCCTCACTGGTCTGTTATTTATGCCCTAATGCTCAAATACGGTTACAAAAGAATCCATTTCTCTGACCACCTCAAATAGCATGGATCGCTTTTCCATCAAATTCCACTCTTTGCTAAATATAAAGAAGTGCAAACATACAAATTTGCTTTTCTGGTATTCCTAACATCAGAGTTATCCAACTAAATCAGGGTGGGATGCTTCCAGCAGCCAGAACGACTGGAGCACCGCGCAGCAGCACCGGACCCCTGGCGGAAGGCAATTCCCACTGCTCCCTGCCTCCTCCCGCCTGCGCTCAGCGTCTCCTAAAGCAAAACCATGACACGCACGTGCCTAAGACTGCTACCTCAATGGGGTCTAACTTTCAGGAATGGCTAAAATCAGGTCTTTTGGTTTGTTTTACTAATTGTTTGAATAGTACACTTATAAACCTCAAGCAGGAAACATGACTCCAGGAGAAATTACCGGTGTAGCTGGTTGAGCTCTGTCAGAAATAGAAAGCTGCGTGGAAAAATGCTCAAGCATGAGAGTGAGCAAAGGGGCAATTTAAAGCTTTAGACTTTAGCAGAGGAAGCAAGAAAAGAGGTATTACAGAGAACTATACTGGAAATCAAAGGTAAGTCTCCCAAGAAAGGTAAGGCAAAGGCAATTCCAAAATTTGATTAATAACTTGATATAGCAACAATAGCAAAGACAGGTAATTTTTGAAGCAGCTTTTCAGATAGAATGAGAGCAGCATTACAAGGATTATATAGTCATACCTATACAAACATGTTTGTACCGCAAACTACAAGCGTTCAAAAAAAATAAGGAGATCAAAAATCTTTAAGTTGCTTTTTTTAGCCTCTAATTTCCTTTCATAATTACAAAGTTTTCTCCAGAAATCCATTAGGAGAAGCTCCTTTAAAAAAATAATAAAATTTTAAAAATCTTACGATGGGGAAGAGAAAAAAAAGAAGTTGAAGTTCCAATGGTCTCAATGTTGCTTGTAGAAGTACAGTCTTAAGTTCAAGACCCAGGCAACAATCAGTCAAAGCCTCTAAAGCTCTTGAGTAGAGAGAAAATACTTCCCTACTGGTCATCTTGGAGAAGCATGACTTCCCATATTCTTCAAGATCCTCTTTTCTAACCAGACAGCTGGGCTCTGCCAAGATCTGGGGTCATCATCACCCATTCAACAAACCTATAGCTGAGTGTCTGACAAGCACTTGACCTTGCAAGGAAGAAAAAGGTATAGAAGAGATTGAAAAGACTCTTGTAAATAGATTCTTCTCCGTTTTTGAGTTCCTTTTGACCTTGGACAATATACTCAGAGAAGCAACTGAAGTTAGAGAAATGAGAAAGGTAGTAAGCTGTCCTACATACCAAAGGAAGAAAACCAATTCTTGATAGCCTGCTTGCTAGCGATATTTTCTCAGGGAAAAATCTATTCAATAAAATATTCCTAGAATATCCCCCTTTTTGTTAGGATTGATAGGAAAGTAAGGCTATGGTACTGAAAGGCAGGCTCTTTCCTCCAAAGTGCACCAGGGGAAAATCCAAGGTTGTTGACGCATGAAGTGGTTCACAAAGGGAAATATAGCCTTCACCCCTTTCACCAGCACAGTTTAAAATGACAGCTGGAAGGAGCAAATGTGTGACAGTCAGTCTCTCCTCCTGAGGTTCCTGTCAGACTGCCTAAAAGGGACCCCTCAAGGCTGCCCAGGACAACTGAGATTTAAAGGACTGTGGTGGAAGACCGTGAGTGACCCACACCTGCCAGGGGGAAACACCTGCACCCAGAACCTGGTGCTGGCTGGAGGGAGAAGCAGCAACCTGGCCTGGGAGGAAAGAAAGGTGCAAGACACATAGTCAGCATTAAGTGAGCTCTCAATAGGCAACCTAACATTCTGCATCTGAAGACATGGGGGGAAGCATGTAGACCGTATCACCGTTACCTGTAAAGAAATGGGCAAGGAATGAGAAGGCGGCTCAACAACTGATGTAGTGCTCCAAAATACACAGTACGAGCTGGTTACATGAGTGCTGCTCTGTCTCTATAAGAAAAGGATCAGAGATTTTGGAACCTACAGGGTGGACACAAAGGGACATCCACCTGTCTCCAGAGTATCGTTCCTCGAGAAGAAATAAAAAGATTAGGAGGACCAGAGGCATCAGATAGTGCTTTCAGATATCGGGCATGCATGAGCTTCCCCTGAGCAGGCTGGACTCACCACCTATACTGCACTGGATGCTAAAGCAAAAAGCAGCAGAAAGTTCAATTTATTACTGCTTCCTTGAGCCTTTCATTTAAGGGTGGAAGGAGTCTCCAAGTTCAGGTCTCCTTCCAATGTCCTCAAAGGGAAGTGAGAAAGGAGTATCATTACCACAAAGACAGGAGACTTCCGTCTATCGCTGCAAACTCGTAACTGTAAGTTGTGTAACGTAACTGTAAGTGAAAACAATAGTAAAACACAGTAGACCAAATATACCTAACGTGAGAACAAGACTGTAAAAAGATGGTGCAAGACCAACTCCATACTTGAGTTTGTACCACCAAACTTTCTTTGGTGGTAGCAATGCACTGTCTTTTTGGACTTAGTTATTGCCTGATGATTTTGGTGTATCCAGTAGCTGCAGTTCAGCATGGCTGTCTTGGTATCTTTTTATCAATTTCCAATCTGCCAACACTGGAAGACATGCTATTAAAACACTGAGAGGGGGAAATAATTTGCGACCAGGAGATTTCTCTTTAAAATGTCATCAAACAATTCCAGACAACATAGACAGAAATTCTGGAAGCACATACGATGTAGCATAGGCAATACAGTATTCACTGTTACAAGAATCAGCATTTACTATTTTTTCTCTTATTAAAGCTATTTATACTTCAGTTTAATGACGATAAATAAAGTACTGATTGATAATTCTCAGGGGTATTATCACAGTATTTAATTCAAAATCATACACGGAATAGATGTTCAAAATCGAGGAGGAAGAAATCAATATTGTGTACGTGCCAACGCACTGCCTTAACCACAAGATTAGCCTACGTTATTATAATAAGAGTTACTATTTTATGTTCTACGTTACACTGTTTTCTGCAGCAATACTAATAAAATGGTGATCTGTGATCTAAAACAGTATTTTGACAGAGCTCCTTAAGATCCACTAGTAGTATAAATTCCATATTAATTACATATGTAGACAGCTCCATCTTGTGGGAACAATAACAAATCAACCCTCTTCAGCACACTAGTGAAAAAACTCCGGAGACAGAACTGCTTACCTTTAAAGAAATAAATCAGCACAGTATTTAAAAGAAATTCACACTTTGTATCACAACTCCCTGATCTAGGTGTGAAGTAAGAAGACAAATTAAACAAGTTTACTAACTTTCTTAAGACGCTGTACTCTTAGGACACTATACACATGCTATTTCAGAGGCTTCAGAAGGAAGTCTAACCTAAAGCACTGGCCTTTTTGAAAGTGTAAGTGTACTTGAGAAAGCCAGGCCATCTCTGGCCATGGACAGAAATTAGGCTTATTCTCAAAACCACAATCACAACTGAGGTGATGCATGCCTGATTTACCCATTATGGAACATCACACATAGTACAGTATGGTTTATTTCTGATACTGAAGCTTATTTTCCATACATACATTTCAAAAATTACCTACACGTATCTAAATAAAGTAATTACTACCTTTGAATAATTATCTGAAGGTGTACATTTCAACAGATTATGGCACTGCAAGCAATCCTGATAGCAATTCTGCACTTTTCAGAGTTGAATTATCAGGCATCAGAATGGAATCCTGAAAGCATCCTATAGCTAATTCTTTTAAATTACAAGAAAAAATTAACAGAATTTACAACACACACACGGTTCTGTTGGGAAGACAGTGAGGAAGCAGCAACCCTTCCAAATGCGTTTCTTCAGGAGACGACTGCTACATGCAACTACATCTACCCTAAAAATCTCTCTCTCACTTTAAGTAGCTTTACGTATGTCAGTGGGAAGTGTCATAAAAAGGGGCAAACATGCCTAAGCTATCAAGAGAAATTTTACATGTGTAATATATAGTTCTTTCCATTTTTGTTTACATTTATACACTTCTGAATGAAGAACCCCAAGACTCCTCTTCAGCTTTATGGGCCCCTGAAGCACATGCCGGTGGTCTGAAATATAGCACAAATCTGAACTGAGCAAAACTGAAATACAAACAAGATTTGTATTACAATTGCTTTCTACCTGTGATCTATACAGCTATAGGAACCTATAGACGACTAGTGGTTGATTCACACCATGAAATTCTGAAGAGTAAGCTTTTTCTCAGTATAAATCTTCAAACCGGAAAAAAAAAAGAAAAAAATCACTGATGTCGGAGACAGAAGTTTGTACTTGATTTTGACATTAAAAAAAAATACACAACAAACCATCTTAATTTTCAATCTGAAATGACAGAACATTAACTTGAGTGACTAGTTAGACATCAGTACTGCGAATCAGTGACAGGGCAGGTACTACTTTCATTCCTAATTGATGGGGCAAGCATGACACCCATCAAGAGCACAAGCAGAGCTGAAAGATTTTTCCGGTAATGCATAGCAGGTTATCTGTTTGTATTACCCAGAACTCTGTATATATAGAGAGAGATGTTTTTTCTGACTCATCTCAATAACTGGACAATATGAGTCATATTAATGCCAGGCTAGGTAAATACAAGATAGTGCAGAAAGTACTTGAAAGAGGAAAAAAATG